AACAGAAGAATCAGCAAGACCAAGTGGTCATGGGAAAGCTGAGGAAAGGAAGGGGGAAGTTGGGGAAAGGGGAAGATGATTTTGTAGGAAATCGTTTATGTTTCGGGTGGGGATGAAATACCTCTTTTCTCCCAGGAAACTCTGCTGCTGGGATCCACTGTAACAGGGCCAGCGTGGCTGCGGTCTGAACCTTCCCTCTGACCTTCCTGATGATCAACCTGAACGCGTTTTAAACGTGTCTAATATTTCCACCTGTAGTTGAGGATTGACAACCAAAGTTCTTATTTGGGAAAGAATTGTGCTCAAAACTCCATGTAGGAGATAAGAGTTTCCAACTCCACAATTACAGAATTTTCTATCGCTTACCTTCTGTATATATATATAAACAGAATATTTGTCAATTAATAATGACCTTCTTATATTATTAAGCATTTAGGTTTACTTAAGAGCATCAGTATAGAGTGTCCTATTATACAATGCACTATAAGTGTGAAAATAATATGAGGTAATTATCTTTTTTGAATAAAGGTTGATAAAACACCTACCATTTAGACCAGTGGGGCCAGCGGGGGTGGGGGGGGGGGATGTCACACCATTGTCTGACCGTGTCTACTTGAGTGAAACATGTTTGTTGGTGAAGCAATCACAACGAAGTGCTTTTCCGGGCCGGTGCCACTGTCCACGTCAGTGTGGACCAGTGCACCGTGCTGAGAGGCTGAGGCTGGTCCTGTGTGTCGTCTCTGTGGTCCCAGAGGGAGGCCGCCCCATGGCCGCCTCCCTTCACCGTTGTTTTTCAGAAGATGGCCGCAATCAGTCACCTTGCATCTGGTTTGAAAAAGGCTTGTCTTGCTGGCAAGCAAACTGTTATTTAAGTACACAATCCACTCCACTACTGAAACAGTTTTGCCAAACTTATCCAAGTATTCTCACATGCTTAAAGATGGTGTAAATATCATTTATAGCTAGCAGTTTTCCTCAGACTATATGGAATGTCTTCCTGCTGCCTGATCTAAGTGTCCCAGTTTACATTATGGCCTTTACTGCCTCTGTTTGATGGAGTGATCAGTAAAAATTTAATGACACTATAAAATAATAAAAATGTCATTAATTTACCATGGATCTTGGATGCAGTGGTTGTAAAGTTACATTAATAAACAGAATATTTTTTACAACAAAAAGCATTGTTACGTGGGAATGTATAAATAACACACATAAATTTAAGAGCAATTTTACTGTTAGCACACACATTATTATGGAATAGCCAATAAGTGTATAAAACATAGTATATAAAATTTTATTAAAATATACTGTGCACATCAAAAATTCAGCTTTTATCTAAGTGCAAAGAAAAGCCATTATTGTGTGCTTACTCTTTCATTGCTGTTCTTTCCCCAGCTCACAATTTTACATTTGTTGCAGTGAAAGGGAGTTTGATTTTTTTTCACCCCTAGATGAAAACAAGCCTCTGATCTCTCAGTTACCCCAAATCTATTCTCTCTCTCCACCCATGCAAAGATAAAATGGATCATCCTTGCCATGGCAGGGAGGGAAAAGTTGCTAATTTAATGCAAAGTTAAAAATAATGCCCGAGGAGTTGACTGGTTTGTTCAGTGACTCTGGAAATAAGGGATAATAATGTAGCAGTCTATCTGTCATCACCGAGGCTGCCCCGTCACTGACTCCGATACTCCGTGAAGATGATGGATACCACCGCCTTGCGACTTGTAACATTTAACATTCATCAGCTCTCACTAAAGGGGGCTTTATCATTTAAATATCTTTATTTAATATGCAACAGCTACCTCATATATCATCATTTCAAAGCACTTAGAGAGCCAACAGCCCTACAACACAGCAGAGCTGGCTTTAATTTTTTTTCAATAACTTTTATGTTGTCTGCATGTTCGTGACTGACAAGGCATAGTAAGTGTCTGATCACTTTTGCCGCGTGGACAACCCACATTTCAGTGCCAGCGTGGAGAGTCCCCGAGTTTCCTGGTGGCTGGGGCTTGGGGCTCAATTACCATTGAGGCCTTTGGCTTATACATCTTCAAAACATTTGCAGTTGGCCACCCACAGTCTATGTTTGTCCCACCTAGAGCCATGCCCATTGGCAATGATGGCGTGAACTTAAAACTTCTTGGAGTGCACATATGGTTGTGTCTCTGACAACACCCTGTCTTGACTGGGTTCAGGTACAGCCTCACTACTGAAATCTTTGCTTAGCTCAGCTGTCCAGAGCTGACTTGTAGACATCAGGCCCTCTTATCTTAGGGTTCTGTGGCTGGCAAATAAATATTCTGAGCTATTCTTTGAAGAAAAGAGGGAAGTCTTCGGGGAGACTAGATGGAAATTTATATGAAAGGCATAGCTTTGTAGGGTCCTTCTTTAATCTCCAACACAAGTGCTTAATATCACCAAATTTAAAATGCAGTCGACTGCCCCAAACAATTTTTATCACTGATTTATTTTCTGCCTATTTAGCAAGTATTTTGTGGGATATTCTGCCTTGACTTCCACTCTGTCAAAATATTGATATTTTATAGAGAAAGTACCTCTGCAGAAGCTTTTTTTTCCCAATGAAGTCACAGAAATGTCTGACTTCAAAGGCACTGTGAATGTGCTGTTGAATGTTCTGAATGCTTTTTGTTATGATTATAAACAAGCCGATACTACTGAATTGTGAGTGCACTTCGTTTTTTTATAAAAGAAAAGATATTATCATCATGTAAGCTTTGTTGTCTTAGGATTTTACAAACCATGGCATGTAATTTTCCCTCTTCTCCTTCCTTGTCAAAATATTGATATTCTTTCAGGAACTTTTTTTTAAAGCTGAGAATATTTTCCGTTAAAATCAAAGAGAATGAATGACTAGAAAGATACTTGAAATATGCATATTGATAGGTAGCACGGTCTGTTGATTTTCAGAGAAAGTTGTTTTCCCCCCATGAAAATACAGTTAAAGGTTGTTCTTCCAAGACGATTGCAGGTGTCACATCAAAACTCCTTTTGCATTTAACACAGGGAAAGCATTCACATGCAAATATTTGAAATTCGAAACAATGTGGTGAAACAAAGGTTGAATATTTTTGCTTTCCCTGGTACTACTCATCTTCACTTTAATTCTTTCCCTTTACATCATGACAACCCAAAGTGCTACTTGAAAGTAGAAACGGGCTGATTAAAAGCAGCTGTCCTCCCTACTAAACCCCCTCCGCCCCCCGCCCCCCGACAATGTGTGAAACTCCCACATGGCTTGTGGTTGCTTCTTGTTGTGTCCTGCATCTGGGTTAATTTGTTCTCATGCAGCCGTGTGTTCACATAAGCAGTTATTGGGGAACCATACCTAATTCGAGTTTTATTTTCATTCCGTTTTCTACAAGTGTCGGATTTCAGAGGGTTTCCCACATAGCGCTGTTGTAACTAGTTAGTGTTACCGGGTTGGGGAATTTCATGATGATAATTTTGTTGCAAATCTTTCACAGAAATGGTGCCAGATTAAAGGAAGGCTTCTGATGTGCTTTTCTTCCAACCCAGATCCCAACATATGCCATGAGGAAGGGGAACTGGAAGACTTCCTGCCCAATTTGACTGATGGGAATTAATTATAGAAATATAATGATATTCAAAAATAATCATATTAGAAAGCACAAATGTAGCGAGACTGTACAAATGAGGCACAGTTTCTATCAAGTAATTGTATGTTTGCTCTTTAAGGATATTTCCAAGTTTCTAAACATCTTACAGAAGAGAACACTCGCAGTCTCTCCATCTAATGCCAAACATGCTCAGTACAGAACTAGGTCACCGAACAATAGACAGAACAGCAATCAGCACGCCACTGCTGCATAATGCATTAAGTCTAACATGCAGAACCATTCCCGAAGCTGGAAGCTGCAATTTCATGTCTGTAACTTCAAGCTGACATGACATTTAATATTGTTTCATCGTAATGAACAACAAGGTTTCATTCATTCTTAAGCACAACACAAAGCCAAGTTTGAGCCTGGAGAGCAACAAGGAGGCAAGAGGGGGCACGTGCTGTGTTTCTGCAGACGAGAACACCATATTACTGCTGGTCCATGAGCCCTCTGCCGCTGATCCACCAGGGCTGCAGAGGGAGCATTCATTGTGATGCTCCGGCCTCCTGTTTCTCAGCACTGGTTAACAAGGCAGGCATCTGCGGGGCATCCTCCACCAGTGGCAGGCGCCTCTGACTCGCCTGGTTTGATGGCTGACTAGAGGGCTGCTGTCCTTGCCCGTTCCCAAGGAGCCACCGCTGAAACGACGGTGAAACAAGGCAAAAATAAGGGTATCGATAGGATATCAGCCAGTCGGCCTGCTGCAAAATATTAGTCCCCGGATGTCTCTTGCACACAATTCTGATATGTATTTCCCCGGACTACCATTGCAAACAGTGATCTCCACATGGGAAAATGACTCTCCCATTCAATTTAGCAGTGCGTCTTAGTACGAACTGCTCTTTCGAGTTTGGGGCTTGTGGCTGAAGCCTCTCAATTGCATTCCTTTCAGATTACTGCAGGAATAGCCCAGAGCGAGAAGATGCACGGTAGAGCTCTGGCAGGCCTCCCGTCCCAGGTGTCCCTTCCTCTCAGGTACTATCCTCTAGAGCAGTGGTTCTCAACCTTCCTAATGCCATGGCCCTTTAATACATGTTGTGGTAACTGCCCCCAACCAGAACATTGTTTTCGTGGCTACTTCATCACCGTCATTTTGCTGCTGTTATGAATCGGGTGACCCCTGTGAAAGGGTCATTTGACACCCAAAGGGGTCGTGACCCACAGGTTGAGAACCACTGCTCTAGAGGCTGCCAACATTGCCAAGGCCATGGAATCTTCTGGAGTTTCTAGAAATGATGTTTGTAGATCCACGTTTTGCTTATTAAGCAAGATAGAAACTGGGCGGTGGGGGGGGGTGTGTGTGTGGAGAATGGCTGATCTGGAAGCTAGAATAAGCCTTCCGATTGTTCTGCCCTCTAGGAAAGAACACGCTTTGAGAGTCTGGGGCCCCAGTTAACGGGAAAGCCCAGTGAAGACGGGAAGCTGGGCCCAGGTGTCATCGACCTTACTCGACCAGAAGACGCAGAGGGTGAGTGCCGCTTCCCTGCCCTGCCGCTTCCCTCCTGCTCTGTGTGCGTCGGAGGTGGCGCTCAGATCTTGGCAGACTTTGCCCTGGAGTTATCAGGTCAGTGTTCTTGGCAAAGAGCAGGAATGTCCGTCTTGAACGCTTGTTCAGCGTTTGAGGACTTTGAGAAGATTCGGCGTTACAGAGAGCATAACAGCCTAAGTCATTTGAGCGTTTTAAAACTGTTTCAGGGAACAAAATTCTGCGTTTCCTTTGCCTCACTGCATTGTTACCAAAAAACAAAACCAACACTCAGGAGCGGTTATTTGCTTGTTTAATTCCAAATCTAGTGATTTCCAGGTGTACGCAAACCGTTGGGGAAGGGAATGGTGGGTTGCTTTAGACTGGGTAGAGAATAAACCCTTGCTGGAGGAAGACTGTGCCTGGGCATTCACATCACGAAAGACGTGCAAGGCTGGGTGGAAAGACCAGCTTCTCCCTGGGAGTGTCGGTCCACAGCACTCTCCAGGCCTGTCTGCTCCTCTTCCCTTTTTGTTTGTTTGTTTTTAATGGCCAAGCAGCAAATCAGCAGAAATTGCTCCCCAGAGTCTGGCTACAATTCATGAGCGAGGTCAGCATTTCGGTAGTAATGTTGCCTGGTTATTTACTGGGTCATCATCGCAGAGTAGGGGCTGTTTTTCCCGTTAGCCGATGCTTTGGCAAAATCCCTGCCCACAGTCACGGAAGATATATTTGTTCTTTTCAGAGTAATACAATCCTTCACCCATCTCAGGTCCCAGGCTGAAGTCCTTCTTTAGCTCGAGGGCAAAGGCTCTCACTGGTATCTCTTTTCCTGGCAGGATTTCTTCCAGGACCCTAAGCCCTTGAACACACACAAAGCCATTTCGCAGCACATTTGAACTGGGCATCGCTGCTGGTGATAGCTTGGGGCCATCCTAGGAAGCTCAGAAATTCCTGGCATGAGCCCTGCCAGATAGGTTAGTATCAGAGAGCTAGGAAACATCTCCGAGAGGTTCCAGAAGGTAGATTTTTCATAGCAGAGCAAAAGACTAGTGTTTGATGATTGTCCTGAGACAAGGTGTGAAAGTGAACTGACTGTGTGTGCCGGGCACCCATGCGGGAGAGCTGCATGGAGATGAAGGAGGGAGAGATGGGGGCAGAGAGAGCATAGGCAGGAAGTGGGGGGGGGGGCAGAAGAGACCTCAAAAGCAGAAGTGAGCTGTTGTCTTCCTTGAAAAATGTCTTCAGAGCACACTGACATTTTCATAGGTACTCAGACGTGCAAGCTTTTCCGTTGCTAAGGGTGCTGGGAGCCCAAAGGATGGGTTGTGTAGAGGGAACAGGCTGTGGGGGAGTGTTTCAGATTTGACCCATCTCAATTCTGTTGGATCATGGTACTATAAAGTAGCTACATCTTGGACCCCAAGCATCAGAATAGGTGGTCTTCTTTACTTTCGAAAGTATTTTTCTGATTGTGTGGCCATGCTATAGTAGCGATAGAATTCTGGTACCTTACTCCTATTCTAATAGACTTCTCTTAAACTGAGATCCATCAGTCTTCATTTGGTTTCATCACTGTGTAATGGATATACATACAGTTAATCACCTCTCAGTGCTGCTGAGATACATTCTCTGCCTGCGATATCATGACTTACCCCAAAGAGCAAACCCACGGCCATTGAGTTGACTCAGACTCGTAGCGTCCCTTCACAGGACCTTGGAGGCTGGGAAGCCTTACAGGAGCAGACAGTTCTACTTTCTCCCACATCATTTACTCAGTCGGTTAAAAATCATGGTCAAAATTAGGAATCTTGAAAAGTGAAAGTAAAAAATGAAAACTAAACTATAGAGAATCATGTTGTATCAAAATACACATGCTGTCTGGGTTCAAAGCTGTATCACTTTCCTGGTTATTTTGGATTTGCTGGTTGTCCTATAAGGAGCCCTGGTGGCATCGTGGGTTACTAGTTGGGCTGCAATCCCCAAGGTCAGCAGTTCAAAACCACCTGCAACTCTGAGGGAAAAATACAGGGCTTTCTACTCCTATAAAAAAATGACAGTTTCAGAAACCCTCAGGGGCAGTTCCTCCCTGCCCTTACAGGGTCACTGTGAGTCGGCATTGATTGCATGGCAGTGAGTCCAGTTTGGTTGTTGTCCAGTAGAGCTGTGATGAGTCAACTCGGTGGTCATGAGCTCGTTTGCTTGATCTGCCAGAAAATAAGCTTTACACACATTTTCTCATAAAAAAATGTATGCACCTCCAAAAAGAAGACTTGTTCGGCATTTTGCAGAGGGGAAAACTGAGTAACCGAGCTAGTAGCAATGAGGTGGGTGCTGGGCTGCTTGGCTCCAGAACCCAGAGCTGTTGAACTCTCCGTACCTGCGGATAAACATGTGGTATCGCCGTTTTCTTGAGCAAACTTCTTGTGACCTTCCTCAGTATGGCCCATTTCCTCTCCCCTAAATATAGCAAGTCATGCCGTGCAGCCGTGCTCAGGTTACCCTGTCGCACCGAGCCGCGGAGCGGCAGTGCCTGATGAGTGTAACAGTAGAAGCCCGGAGTGGCCCAGGAGCTTAAGGAGCGTGTGAAAAGCTCCCTGCAGAAGCTTGCCCAGGGTTACCATTGAGACCTCATGTGCTTTGGGGGGACTGTGAGTCCATGAATGGAGTCAAGTTACCTGCGCTAATGCCGTCAGAAGAGCAGAGCCTTTGTGGGGGCTGCTGGGATGGGTAGCAGGCTTCTGCTGACTTGAGGCTATTTCCTGGCATCTGTTCAAGTGTGAGCTGATTGCAAAGCCTGCTGGAGTTGTTGTTCCCATCCAAGTCCGAGGAGATAACAGGTACATATAATACTTTTTTCCACTTTGATCCTTTGTGTTTCCTTGAAAAGGAAAATGAAGAAGGTGCCTAAGTATCAGAGTAACTAAAAAGAAAAAGAAAATCACTTAGTCAATTAGTCCATGGTGCAGAAAATATTTATAGTGTCTATAATCTGTTAGTCCCAGAACCAGAACTAAGCAGACTGGAATTCAAAAGAGCTATGTCTTTTGCCTCATGGAACAGACAGTCTACTGAAGGGAGATAGGAAATTAAAAGGCAAGTACTTAAGTACACAATTATTATCAAGAAAGCACTGTGGAGATCAGGACTCTGAAGATCTGTGTGACTCCAGACAATTCCGACCAAGACCTACTTAGGCAACTATCATTGGCCAGGGAGTGCCGTCACTGGAGTCCACACACCATCGCTGTAATTTCCCTGGCTTTGGAGCAGCCTTTCACTGAGAGTCCGCATCGACTTGATGACAGACAGTTTCTGAATTTACGTCCTCTCTCTACCTCTACGGCTATCTACCCTATCCTCCTGTGGAGCTTCCACAGTGATGGCAGTAATCGGTCCAGAAGGCGAGGCCCTATCCCAGTCGGACTTCTTAAGATAATGTCTGCCAGTCCTGAAAATGACAATGCCACTTAGTAAGCAATCTGTAGACCTGCTTTACAGCCCTGGGCATGGGAGCAGGGGGGGAAGGTCACCAGGGGGGAAAGTGTGTATTAGCCACTCATCAAAATCAAATGACAAAGCCATAGGCAAGAAAAACAGAAATTAAAAATATAAAAGGCAAATGCCTTCAACATTTTATTTTTAAAGTCCAGCTGTTATTTGGCTTGAATGTGACAAGACAGCATTTCTTGTTCCCCACGATATTTATAAAACTAAAGATGCGCTGGTACTGAGGACTTAGGAAACATGCTTGAGGTCTTTTTATTTAAACTTTGAAGCAGCCGAAGATGTACTATGTGCTACGTGACCACAATTCATTAGCTCCTCATATAGGACATCTGAAGGAAAAGCACTGGATTAGTTGAGACGGCCACTGTGTATGTGTGATCAACTGCTTGTTTATCAGCTTGCTTTATGGGCTTGTCTTAGAATGTTCCACCTTCTCGCTTTACTTAAGAAAGGGTCGTTTTCATCCCGACTCTCCTAACTCAGGGTTGCCCACTATCCTGGATATACTATGTGGATATACTATGCGACCTTGAAAGGAGGGAAGTTGGGGAAAGAACTAGGGAGACAGGCTAATAGAAAGGGCAGTGGGGGTGCTGTGATAGGATCTTCATCTTCTCTGTGTGAGACCCAGGCTCGGGTCCCAGCCAGTGCTCAGCCACAGCCACCCCACAGCGGGGGCCCACACTGTGCTGAACAGGCTTCAGAGGAACTTCCAGAGGAAGACAGACTAACAAGAAAGGCCATCTACTTCCAAAGCCCATCGGAAATCCCGTGGATCACAATGGTCTAATAGGCAGTCGATCATGGGATTGGGGCAGGCCCAGGCAGTGTTTCGTTCCGTTGTGTGTGTGTGATTAGGGGGCAAAGTTCACAGTGATGTAAAGTGACAGTGGGGATGGTACATAGAAAGGACTCTGGCTTCATGGTGGGAAGATTTGGACCCGCGCTCCTTTCCTGACTGACAGCAAACACATGCCTAATGCCTCTGGGCTCATTTCTACATCCTTCCAAAATCTCTGATTGTAATTAGTGTCTTCACAAATAAAACAGGGGGTTCTAGGCCAGACTTTTGGACCCTGAATTGTAATTGTAATGACACACTCTCCTCTCTGTTTCTTAAAAAATAAATAAATAAATAAATAAACACTAATTGCATTGATTTGAACGGAAATGGATATGTGCACCAAGAATAGCCCCTTTTAGGACTGTTGCTCTCAGATTCTCAGATTTGCTTAGAAGGGATTTATGGATTCATACGGAATTTGTGATTTGGATGCTAGCCAAGATGGCCTTACTCGTGTAATGCTTCGTTTTATGTATTTGTTGTTTTCTTTAAGTAAACTTCTGATTGCGTCTACGCTTTGTATCTCTGAGCCAATAGCAGACTCCATTTCTTCTTCTTTTCTTTTCAAAAGGCATCACTTAATATGAATGTCCTCTCCTAAAACTCCTGTCTCCCCTTTGATCCAGACTCAGGGAAATCTTTGAAGCCC